CTGTTTTTGCTTCAAATTTCGAAATTATACAATCTAATTTAGATTCAAAACTGCTCATATTGCATGTATGCAGCATCTTTGTTTGGATCATGATTAAAATGCAGTGGTTGCCTCTAATTTTAAATGGAAAGGGGCACATTACATGTTATTTATTTTATTTGGGGCTTGTTTTAAAATTTCAATTTAGTTTTGTTATTTACATTTACATTATATTTAAATGTTGTCATTTAGCAGACACTTTTATCCAAAGCGACTTACAAATTAGGACAATAGAAGCAATCAAAACCAACAAAAGAGCAATAATATGCAAGTGCTATATTAGTATATTATTATAGTGTTATATTTCAATTTGACAAACAAATGTGTAGCATTTTGTCCAAGCAATAATAAGAGGACACATTTAATTTATAATTTGTCTTAAATCTCGTTTTGTAAAAAAAAAAAAGTGAATCGAATCGTGAAATCAAAATCGTGAATCGAATCGTGAGTTGAGTGAATCGTTACATCCCTATAATCCAAGCAAGGTTATGTTTTCGTGATTGTGAGTCTAGGCGTTCGGAGAGACCAAAGTCAGTCTGGCTATGCATGACTAACTCGGCTTTGGCACAGCCTCGCCAAACCTAGTCAAGTCAAACCTGTGAATCATAAAAACAAACGAACAGAAGTGATGCTTCATCCAGGTTGCTGCTGATCTCATGCAAAGCGCTTGAACGAGGTCCAGCGCTCGAGGCGGTATCTGCTCATGCCAAGAACAGAAGAAGAAATTATGTTTCTGGAGTCTGGACTGTCTTTACATTCAGTTAAATACATGTAAAAGAATCTGAATAGGAGAATGTGAAATTGATATTCATGGGACTTAAATGGACCAGCTGCAAACTCAAATTTCCCATTTGAGCACCTTAGCTCACAGTATGCTATTGCTAACCGCTAGACCACAGCTCTGATGATGATATGCTTGCATGGACTCTAAATTCTGTTCTGTTGTTTTGTTTTTCAGGATTTCGCAGGAATGAAGAGATGAAGGCGATGGAAGTTTTGCCCATTTTAAAAGAAAAAGTGGCCTTCTTGTCAGGTGTGTTGTCCATTTGGTTGTCTAGTGGTCGTAACATACTGTACAGAGTGTGTGCCTTCAATGCTTCCACTATAGCAAGTGTTTTAGTTTAATTGAAAAATGTTCATTACCTGTATACAGGAATATTCCAAAAGGATAGTATGAAAGCTGGTTTCCATTTCAGACTAAAAAATAAAAAAGATAATTGTGGTGTATAAAGGTGCAATTCTGTAAAGTCGCAATTTTAATTTTATTTGTTTTTAAAAAGGTAAAAAAGCTTCCATAAGCTCAGGAAATGACCTGAATCAGACATCATGTTGCATCACATCAGTGTTATTTTAGTTATTTTATATATTATTGTAGTATTTATTAATTAATTACTTAATTAATTTTGAATTAGCTTTAATTTTAGATTTTCTGTTTTAATATTAGCTTATCATTTTGTAAAAGTTTGTAATATTGTTATGTGTTTTTGTCATTTGTTTTTAATGCTTAATTTATTATTATTTTAGTTTTATCAATTTTAGTCCTTAATTTATTTCAGTTAGTTGCCAACAGAGCATGTGAGCGGAGCGGGAGCGTAGGGGTAATATTTCTTTAAGAGCGCAGAGCACCTTTCTGAAGATTCCGCTCCGCTCGCTCAATACGCTCAGTGCCGCTCGCTCAACCCAGAATGCCGTTTGGTGATTTGTTTGTTTGAGATCGAGAATCTGTAGAGATCGAGAATAGTAGAGCAGTTATGGAGTTCAGATATTGTTTCAACGAAGTTGCAAGCCTTATACATAAATGTAAAGTAAAAATCAAAGTTAAGAATGAGCCCGGAGAAGAAACTGAGAGGGAGTGCGGGGAGACTGTGCTCATGTTTAATCAGTTAAATCCCCAGATTTAAAATAAAGACTTTGAGACTAGACTAGGGCTGTGCGATTAATCGAAATCGTCATAAAATCCCGATTTGAGCTTGCGCGATTTCTAAATCGTTTTATAGCACGATTTTCCACGCCCCCGACCTCCCGCAGTATGCTATCCAAACCAATCAGAAAGCTGTATGCCTAAATGGAGCACGAGAACAGAACAGACCAGGTGGGCAAACGTAACGCCAGGTTCACACACTCCGTCTGTGGTGCGTATTTTGTCTGTACACATGTTAAAGGATCAGAGCGTTCACACTGCACACGATTACGGTCCGGCAGTGCGCTCCAGGAGCGGTGCGTCTGCAGCAGTCATGCTGCGATCGTTTCCGCACGGAATCTATTTCTGCTGTTCTGCACGCGCTGAATTAAAGTGACAACGCATTAGTCGCGGTAAAAATTAACATGGTTTGACACGGAAATTTAGTAATTACACCATAAGTGCATATAATTAAAGTCTACTGTTTCACAGTCAACACATGGCTTTTTGGCTAGATTTAAAACAAGGAAAAGTGCACTTTTAGATAAACAAGGCAATAATAGATGGCACTCGTGGAGGTAGTTAAACAAAGTTATATTTATTGAGTTTAAACGTGAATATGTTTATGAAAGATTGTATTACCGTACTGTGATAAAAGAGAATCACGATGCTGAAAAAGCATTTTCAGAAACGACGTTTGGATTTGAAATCAAAATAATGGATAAATGTTGTGTTTGTGGTAAACAGCCGCGGATCAGGAGCGGACTGCAAACGCGTCCTGTACGAAAGCAAAATGAGTCAGTGCTGCTTCTACACCGCATACACATACAGTATACGCACTGCAGACGGAGTACGTGTGAACTTGGCGCAACAAATCTAGTTCAACATCTGAGGCAACGCCACAAAGAGCTCTATAACCAATGCATTTTTTCCCCCCTGCCTTATGTCTGTTCTAGAGACATGTTACAGCTTTTTAAAAAAGCTCTAATTGGTTTTCTTTTGGAAATATGTTTCAAATTCACACTGAATGCATTGACTGTAAAGCATGTCGGTGTGTGTCAAAATCGCGATTAAAATCGAAATCGCAAAATTGATAAAAGAAATCGCAATATTTTTTTTTGTCCATATCGCACAGCCCTATTTGAGACCCGGATTTAAAATTGACACATCCAAGCATGTTGCTGAACTCTCACTGTATGACGTTACAGAATGTTGTCCGGTCCAGTTCCTTTCACACAGCAGTGTTGTGTTTCTGTTAATCTGCATGTTTACATAAAGATACTCTCGTGTTGCGGTTATTTACTAGCGAATGCATTGTACATTCCGCTTACAGTATATCGATGGAACACGTGGGACATACCAACTATACAAACTGTGTAGGGAGAACCTAAACTGAGCCATTCACTATATAGGCTACTACAACCAGGGCATCGCTAAAAATGAGTGTGTGAGTTTGTTTACAGAACGCTGTTGTCACTGCTGCAAACTCCCATTTAAATAATTATTCAAAAAATATAATTTCCTTGCAGCCAGTGGACCCCCTTTCCAGTGTAGGCCGCTGTGCCTCAGCCCCTTGAAGCCCATGCATTAATGCGCCCCTGGAAAAGTCTCCTTCTAACTTGCTCTCTGAGCTTCTGTTTGGCTCTTTTAGTCATACAACTAACACACCAGCACTAAAATGACTCGGAAACATAGGCTGTGTCTCCATAGGGATGAGTAACCATCACACACATGTCCCAAGATACAACAACAAGCACAATCAACAGGCATGAGAGTGTGCTTAAAAACTAAAGAACAGAGCAGAAGAACTGAACCTGCAGAGAGCCCTAAGTGTGAACACCCAGTGATTTCTGCTTATACATGCAGTTATGTGCAATTTATTTATTTATATTCCTGAACATCAGAGGATAAGAAGGATTATCCTATTACAAACACACTCCATTAGTGAGATTCGGCACATTCGCTGGAGAAAATCCTCATGGATATCCCAGCCGCTCAGTGAGTTTGTTGTGCTGGAGTTGATGCATTTTGACTTCGTAACACAACCTGGAGCCATGAGAGGAGGATCAGTGGGAGCAACACATTGATTACTTATTTCTCAATGCTAATGAACTTAGGTTTGGTGTATGACTGTGACCTGGGTGATTCAAGGAATTATTATTGGTAAAAACAGTGGTTGAAGTTGAATCGTGATGCATGTAATGCCTATATTATCTTTACTGTTGGTCCACAGTTGTTGTTGTAGGAGCTACGACCCAACAATTCAACAGTAAAGATAATGTAGACCTCCACAAATACATCAGAATACCATTTTAACCACTGCTTATACCAATAACCAGTGTTGGGGGTAACGCATTACAAGTAATGCGAGTTACATAATCAGATTACTTTTTTTCAAGTAACTAGTAAAGTAACGCATTACTTTTTAATTTACAATAAAATATCTGAGTTACTTTTTTTCCCATTCATTGACTGACAGCTCTCCTGTCCCCATGTTGAGAGAAATCGGGAGTAAATGCAGAGGCGCTGTGTGAACATGATGTTACTGTAGTTCTAGACTAAATGTGAACACATTACTCAATACTCATCTCACTTGCACAAAAACAGATTCAGTATTCCTTAAGATGAATGAAAACAGTGTAATGCAAACCTGCAATAATTAAATGTATTAAATAGCACAAATATCTTTTATGCATTTAATCCCATTTTATTAATCAATATCTTTGCTGCTGACCTTCGATGATCCAATTCAGCCATAGTAATAAGCAAAAATTACTTAAAATAAACATGACATTTGTTTTTCTTTCTTTTTGTTTCTATAGGCCAGGGGTGGCGAACGTCGGTCCTGGAGAGCCGCAGCCCTGCAGAGTTTTGCTTCAACCCTAATCAAACACACCTAAACAAGCTAATCAAGGTCTGAAGGGTTACTAGAAAGCTACAGGCAGGTGAGTTTTAATTAGGGTTGGAGCTGTACTCTGCAGGGCTGCGGCTCTCCAGGACTGGAGTTCGCCACCACTGCTATAGGCTTTAGTCAGTAGACGTAATTTGGCATGAAAACAAGGCTGTGTTTCACATATTGAATGGACTGTGCTTCCTGCCCTTTTAGATTAGTTCTTGTTTGTGCTATTTGCTGTTTCTTATGCCATCTACTATAGTCTGATAATGACATAAAACACCAATTTACCCATGTGACAGGTAAATGTGCACCAAAATACAGAGTATGATTGGATGCAAAGCTTTTGATGTTGGGATAATGGGATATGAGAAGCATTTTCAAAAAGTAAAGCCTATTTAGTTTTCTACCAGCTGATTTAATGTTTTGCACTCCTGCATTGTTATTTCTCCAGGGGGCAGGGACAAGCGTGGCGGTCCAGTTTTAACATTCCCATCACGAACCAACCATGACCGAATACGACACGAGGATCTCCGCAGACTCATCGCCTACCTCGCCGGCATCCCTAGGTATTGACACACTTACTCCCTACTCGGCTAGAACGAGCTCTGCCCACCAGGAGAATATGAACGCCTTTGGTATGGTTTAAAAACATCCCAGGATACACCTGCTGGGCATTTCTTTCACTATCCGTTCAGACACATTCCCTTGAAAAGAACAAAAGCAACTGGATTGGATCCGGTGAATTGTGCAGTGAATGTGCCAACTGTCCTGCTGCTTACCGCCGTGTTGCTGTCTTTTCCTCATAGTTGGGCGCATTGATCTGTAATTGACCTGTGAACTAGGGATGCTGTCTCTTCATATGTGATGTTTTGTCGTGCTTCTAAAAATTTAATGAGGCAGGACAAGTCTGCACTTCAGTTCAATTCCTCTAAACGGCTCTGCCGAGCAATCGTACTCTATAAACATGTTTGTTTATGGAGCTTTAAGCATCTATTAGTCAGAGCATGAGGGTGGCAACTCTGGTACAGTGCAGCTACAGAGAGCATAGCACACTGTGACCTTAATGGGTGTTTCTTAAAGTGCTGGCACTTTTATCTATTGAGTTGATTTTTATTACAACACATTTTATTTATTTTATATATGAGTATATTGTATCTGTTAATTTTATTGTTTCACTCTTGTCCCAGAGTCAGATTTGAAATTTGAAAAAGCATACAAATCATATTAAAATATACCCTTTAAAAAAAAACTGTGATATCCTCAACAAGTTAATATAAACATTTCAATATTTATTGTGTGAAAAACTATTTATCAATTTGTGATCGTTTCCACCACAATTAACAATTTTGTACCTAATAAATATATTAAAGATAGTGAACATTAAAGTTTAGTGTACTTTGTTACCAAGCAGACATCAGTGCCAGTGGATCAGTGTTATTTAAGTATTATTTATATGCTGTTGTAGTATTTAGTAATATATTAGTTAGCTTTCATTTTTATATTTTCAGTATTCTTTTAGTATTTTTGTGTAGATTTGTCATTTTTATTAGATTTTTTTTAATATATATATATATATATATATATTTCTGTTTAGCTTTATTTTGAGTTTAGTTTTAGTAATTTTAGTTCTTTAACTTAGTCATTTTATTTCAATTAGTTGCCAATGCATTATTTCTCGTTTTCGTTTTAGTTTTTCATATAAGTTTTCAATTATATTTTATTTCAGCTTTATTTAAATCAAAAATGATTTCTTAATAGTTACTATGCACTCCAGTGTTGCTATAGTTTTGCTTGAGGTGAAATATGAGGCATGTTATGTGTGTAGAAAATGAAGCTGTCGTGTTTTTGTGTCATAAGCTGTAATTTTGTCAAATTATGCTTGTGAAAATATGATTTGTGTATGTAGGATGCATAAAATTTAGCTATGAAATTATCCTTAGCAAGATATAGGAGTCTGTTTTGTTCCAAAAATGTTCAAAATGTAATTTCCACCACAAAACGAAGGGTGAAATGATGTGAACTGATAATTTAGAGAGAGAGAGAAAATGTGATATTAGCAGACAGATTGAGTAAAGTAAGGTGTTTCAGGAAACACCGATATAGCGTTTTGCTTCTTTTTTTAACCCCCTTCTCTTCTCAGAATGGATTTTATAGCTGAGAGCAGCATGACTGTAATGTAGGATGCATAAAATTTAGCTATGAAATTATCCTTAGCAAGATATAGGAGTCTGTTTTGTTCCAAAAATGTTCAAAATGTCATTTCCACCACAAAACGAAGGGTGAAATGATGTGAAGTGATAATTTAGAGAGAGAGAGAAAATGTGATATTAGCAGACAGATTGAGTAAAGTAAGGTGTTTCAGGAAACACCGATATAGCGTTTTGCTTCTTTTTTTAACCCCCTTCTCTTCTCAGAATGGATTTTATAGCTGAGAGCAGCATGACTGTTTGGTATATCATCGTATTTGGCATATTTATTAAAACATATTCCTAGGGCTGGACGATATGGCCAAAATTTATATCACGATACATTTCTTAATTTCAGTCGATACGATATAATTCCGATATCGATATGAGCACTATTTATCTGAAATAGAAATCTTTTATAACATTATAAATGCCTTTATCATTACTTTTGATCCAATTTTAAGCATCCTTGCTAAATAAAAGTATTAATTTCTATAATTTCTTTCCCCAAAAAATAATAAAAATTATACTGAATGGAATAGTGTTACAATTTTAATTTTTTTTATTTCAGATAAATGCTGATCTTTGGATCTTTCTATTCATCAAAGAATCCTGAAAAAAAGTACTCAACTGTTTTGAATATTGATTATCAGCAAATCAGCATATTATAATGATTTCTGAAGGATCATGTGACACTGAAGACTGGAGTAATGATGCTGAAAATTTAGCTATGTATGATCACAGGAATAAATTACATTTTAAAATCTATTCAAATAGAAAGCAATTTTAAATAGTAAAAATATAAAAAAAATTGTACTGTTTTTGCTGTACTTTGGATCAAATAAATGCAGCCTTGGTGAGCACAAGAGAATTCTTAAAAAAATCTTATGTTCAAAAACTTTTGACTGGTATTGTAGGCTGATTATTCTTATAGATTGAAACAAATGTGCTTCAGCCAGAAAAAAAAGGTATGAAAAGTGCTCCGAGTCGCTGCAGAAAACAAAAAAAATTGAACAACAACAAAAACTGGAAATGTTGCTGGAGACGGGCTTATTGAAAATGCAAACTGACTGTCTGCCAGCAGGAGGCGCTTTTAGAGCGATAAAAGTAGTGGTTTCCCTTGTAACGGCTGTAATCAAAGCAGCTCTGCTCATGAACGCTACTTTATCAAATCAAATGAAAATGCCATCGAAACTTTTCTGAAGACAGTTGGTTCCCTTCAGAGATACATTCATATAAAATACCCGCGCCGTGTTATGATTTTTCATGTTTATTCAACGAAGTCAAATGCCACAAATAAATCAATGTATGGGAAACACTGTATATCGGAATATCGAAAATGTGTTTAAAAATCATATCACCGTTATTGAAAAAAATTATACCGCGATACATATTGATATTGAATTATTGTCCAGCCCTACATATTGCTCAGCCAGTAATACTGCAGTGAATTTAGTCGCTCAATACTTTTAACTAGTGGGAAGGGAATAGAAACACAGAGATTTAGAGGGGGCACAATGGGAAGAGTGGTTGGTTGGAAAGGCAGCGTGGGCATGATCAAGAACCTGCCGCAGTTCAGCCACTTCCAACAGCTCTTCCTCCTCCTCATCATCCTCACTCACACACTCTGTCCCCTGCACCCACACAGTCACACCAGAAAAAGCAAAAGAGAGTGATCTACTGTTACAAAGCAAATCCCCTAGAGATAAAAAAGAGAGACACACAGAAAGATGGGAAGGGATGTATCATGATAAAGAGAGCGAGAGAAGGAGCAGTCATCTTTAGAGATGGAGAGCGGGCGAGTGTGCAGGGAAAAAATGGGAGGGCGAGCAAGCCAGTGAGCAGGAGAGGGAGGGAGAAAGAGAGAGAGAGAGTGGAAAACAGTGTCGCAGTCGCACACGGCTGTGTGTGTGTCTACAGCTCATCATTACCAACAGCTCCTCGATGAGACCCTTTCTGATGTGAAATCGGCCAGGCTGATGTTTGACTGACAGCTGCGTGAGACGCGCTCTGGATTTCAGAGTAATGGACTGATACAGTCAGCAGTGCAGGTTGTGTCACAGAGCTTTTAAGACAGGTAGAACCTTACAGATTGGATACTGAAGGCCTTCAGCTGTCTGAAAGCAGGTTTTGTGCTCATTTGATAAATATTTTGCAGCTGTGCTTAATGGGTAAGCTCTGGCATGCATCTCTCCCTCCCTCCCTGTATGTGCCCTCTGTTGTATGTGCATTGATATATATATATTTTTTTGATAAGGGAAATCATTTTTCCCCCTTTATTTTTAGTTCCTCCAGTTGCGTTCGTGCAGCGGTTGTGTTTGTTTCTTAGCTAGGAGGTTGCACTATAGATTATGTAATGCAAAGAGGATTAAAGCTCATATTTTGTTCTTTCTCTATTTTTTTCCCCCTGTCATCCAGCGAGGACGTGTGCAAACATGGCTTCACGGTCATCGTGGACATGCGTGGCTCCAAATGGGATTCCATCAAGCCTCTGCTGAAGATCCTGCAGGAATCGTTTCCCTGCTGCATCCACGTCGCCCTCATCATCAAACCAGATAACTTCTGGCAAAAACAGAGGACCAACTTTGGCAGCTCCAAGTTTGAGTTTGAGGTATGGTCATCTTTCAGTCTCTTACTTGTAGGGTTGTGTTGAGAGGCATAGCTGGAGATGGATGTTGTTGCCGTTAGAGCTCACTGTCCATCACTGCATATTCACATTTTGAGAGAGTTTTTTTTTCTTTTTTGGCATGTTTTGATTATTGCATGCTTTAATATACTATAATTAGTGTTGTTCTTTTAACCTGAAAGATGTATATGAGCAGTGTTGAAATCAGTGCTTTTGGTTGTGGTCATGATTTTAATTTTGAAAGAATTTAAGGCATTTCAGTGTTTGCAGATTACTAATATTGTAGATTATTCCCGCAGTCCTCTGAAAAACCAGGTGAAATGGCTTCTCTGCTGCATTTTTTCATCCTATTAATTAATAATCTGCGGGTTTGTCTGTGACATCCGATCTGTGTTGGTGTGAGCATGTGAAGGCAGCTCTGGTCGTGTGGGAGTGTGTGGGTGTTGATGTTCTGTCGGTGTGTGTATGTGTGGGTTGACTAGATGTATGTAAATGTAGATGCAGCAGAAATGCTTTTTCTGCATATTTCTCTGCATTTGTTATATATTGAGCTGGCTCGATTGCATGGTGTTGGTGCAACTTGTTTTCACTCACAGAGCCATCAGAGTGGAAGGCTTTGTTTTTATTTGAGTGCAGTGGTGTTTGTTTTTATTGGAGGAGAAGCTTGTATTTGTGTGTGCATGCATTCAGTTTGACAGTGAAAGAGCACATGTGGGGAAAAAAAAGATGGCTCATGTTTCCTATGGCAAATTTCCTATGCAAGAGAATAATGTTTTAGATCAAATGATAATTAGTTCTCAAACCACCATGAATAAAACATGATTATGCATGTATTTGATAAAGACCAATCAGGATCTGGTATGTTACAGTGACATCATCACCTACAGTCATGTCAGAATTACAGTGTTTAAAAAAAACCCTTGAGATTCTGCTCTGAGCTTCACGTCACGTCTTTGGACTCAGAAATTGTTTCTATGGCAACGTTCATAACACCAAAAAGATCAATGTGTGGCTGTGATGTGAATGACAGTAGATTCTTCACTACATCAGTTTTCTCATGTGAAATATTGAAGAAAAAATAAAGGGCACCAGGTAACAGTGTTTGTAACAGTATATTTGTAAACGAAATATGAAGAGGAAGCCAAATTAATAGCCTTTTAGGGTTTTACATGACTCCACAGCAGTCAGATGGGAGTAGTCAGAGCTTTCCAGTAAAGGAAAGTAGAATATTTTTGACATTATATGAATTCAAAAAGCCCTGTTCACACGGACAGTGATTTATTCCAGTTCCTATTGCTAGATGGCCTATTGGTATTAATGGGCTACACATATGAAAATATCTATTGCTGGTAAAACGAAGACAGCAGTCAGTTTTCAACAATAATTCAATTTTCTTTCTGCTGGAGAGAATGTTTGTATGTAAACTGCATCATATAATGAACAAGCTCTGCTATCTTCACTCGTACTGGTAGTCGTCGCGTCGCATTTACATAGAGGTAAACTTTTCTCAGCGATGGTTTTCGATAAAATTTTTTAACTAAAATTGCATGAAAAACTGCAATAAAAATAAATCCATATAGAAATATATATTTTTTAAATTACAATTAAATGACAAAACCACAGTTACAATTCAAATAAAAACTTTAAATATAAAAATGAAAGCTAATTCAAAATATTAATAAATATTATAATAGTATAAATATAATAAATTAATATTATTATTTAATAATTAATATAATAAATAAAACTAAAATAACATTGCATTAGAAAGGCTTAAAGGAAGTGAGATATTTATATGATTCTGCCTTTTAGATACTTTGGCCAATCACAGGTCAGCATACCGGTGTGTCAGTTGCATATATTCCCTAATTTGCCCTATTTGGCCGCTTTTATGTGATATTGTGCGTGAATTACAGTCTAAAGCGCTCCCTACCATCTGGTGGTCCATGTAAGTCCAAGCAAGTGTTGAGCAGAACACATGATGAAATGTTTCTGGTGGGCAGGGTCAAGGAATTTGTCATAGGAACGGCTGCAAGCTCTCATCTCGCCCACTGCTCATGACATGCCACATTTCTCATAATTACTGAACAACAAAAGAGCAGAAGGCAAAAAAAAGCAAATGCAGTCCATAACTCACATTATTCTCATTGCAGTTAATGGACAAATGGGCAGCGTGCTCATGTTGATGTGTGTCTGTGAAAGGCTGCAGATGCCTGTATGGCAGCAGGACTTGAATCGATGAATAGTTTTAGACCACGTTTACCTTGAATTCACAAAAGAGACCCACACCTCCGCTCTCTCCTCTTCCACGGCTTTGATGAAGCCCACTCATGCACATTTGTTTTCTTTTTTCTGTCCTCCCATCTATTCATTTGTAGAAAGAATAACACACTATTTTTTAGTCCTCTTAGAGCAGACTAACCAAATGTGTTCAGAAATAAATGAATGGAAGAGTGGAACTTTTCTGACTTCATTTTGTTACATCAGTATTGTTAGCTAACTCTGAAATAAAAAATATTGCGGAAACAAAATATTTAAGTTGAAGTACTAAAATTAGAAAAGAAAAAACTAATAAAATGACAAAAGCACATAAAAATTACTAAAGCTTAAACTATAATGTCCCAAGAAACATAAAGCAGTTACAGCTTTGCTTGCTAAGTATTATATATTGTATATTGTCAAGTTTGACTGTGTGTGTATTTTTACAGTATTTATGGCATAATGATGTTTTCCACCAGAAATATTTTTGACTCATCCCTTGAAAAATTTTTTCAAGTGACAGTTAAAAAGGCACTTAAAATGGAAGCAAACAGGGCAAGACAAATACATTGCAAATTCAATCACAGGAATTAAATTGTTGATAAATAACTTGATTGATATTGATATATTAAATAAATTAACCATAATTCGTTTTGTGATTCCAGAAGCTTTAAGAAATATATGTTCTTGTTATTTAATTTCAGATTAAATCTGGACTTTATCTTTCTTGTAGAATTTTAATTCAGATTATCTTAATATATTAACTATTTATTAATTTAAATAATTTTAAGTCATCCTGTGGCCCCCTTGGAAGTTGGTTGAGGCCCCCTAGTGGGCCCCTGTCCCCCTGATTGAGAACGACTGCTCTAAATTGAAGCAAACCCTGTGTTTGCATTCTGAGGCACAACAACTATGTAGTCAAAAACGGAAACATTTTTCCCTTGCATTTTTAAAAAGTTTCACATATACACGACAACGTTTTCAAAACGATTCGCGTTTGGCGAAAATGGCCAAAAATGCTGTATTACGTATGCCAGGCCATGTAATATTGGTGAAGTAAATCCACACTTTGCTGAAGAAGCGTTAGCATACTCTTTAAACAGCAAAATCAGTATATATACTCCGCCATTGTTGTTTGTTTGTTCGCGCTTGCCTTTAAAATTTTCAAAGATTCCCGTTTTGGGTGTTTACACTGAAATGACAATGGTGGCGTTTTCAAAAACTTGCACTTTGAAACCCGTTTTCAAAAATATGCCTTTTCAGTCCCCAAAACGTTTGTCCGTTGTCCGTTGTCGTGTAAACGAACTGGCAAAACGCATAAAAAGTTTCCAGTTTTTTGGCTGAAAACGTTGTCGTGTAAACAGGCCCTGAATCTGCGCACATATTTACAGAAGTTCTCACTAATTCGTCTCAGTGTTTCTCATAGTGGGTGGAAGATTTGCATGTTGCTAGGAAACCAGCAGCTATTCTTTACTCCTGAGAAATGGGTCATTTTTATGATTTTCTATTTTTATCCATTTCAGCTATATGAACACAACAATGCCCATGCTGAAACATGCTCCCAACGGGATGTCTTACATTACAAGCACACACATACATGCACTTAACCTGCTTCCAGTCAAATGTGTGCCTGACGTGTGTGATTGCTGTCTCTTTGCAGATGTTTGACTGGATCATGCACAACAAAGGGCTGTTTCTGGCTGGATACACTGAGATCGGCAACAACCACCCCCACGCCATGGAGCTGCAGACCCAGCACAACCACTTTGCCATGAACTGCATGGTGAGAATATTTCAATTGAATTTTCACAAACGAGTAAAAATGTCACTGTCACTGCATCACTCACTACGTATATCCTGTTTCCTGTAATGCCCCCACAGCATAAACCTAAGCGCACACAGCCATTTCTTTTACAAACCGGCTAGACTAGGATTTTTCTTCCATTTTAAGATGTGTAATGGTGTAATGGTTTTAATTTTTTCAATGTAAGAGCCGATACTTTATTCAGAGATGGTGACTCATCATATAATCAGAGATGGAGCATATAGAGCATGATCCACCTAAGTGCTTCCTGTTTGGGTGGCTGCCCACCAGCTGTGGGCCATGTTGGGGCGTCCTTTAAAAAGCCCCATTACTGTAGAGAGACGTATTGATCACTTCCTGTTTAAAGAGGCAGAAAGAGGATGTAGGCATATTGAGCTCTGGTAAGTCTTCAGATGTTGATATAAAAGTTTAATGATAGCATTAATTTACTTTTTATGTTAAAAGCCATTATAAGGTATTTTCCAGAACCATGTGGTTAATGGTTCATCACTGATTTTTACCAAAGTTTGAGGTCTGTACGATTTTTTTATGTTTTTGAAAAGAGACTAATGCTCACCAAGGCTGCATTTTTTTAATGAATAGTACAGTTAAACAATAATATCGTGAAATATTATTACAGTTATTAATTTCTTCTTTAAAAGAATCTTACGGACCCAAACTTTTGAATGGTAGAGTAGTTCCCATGTCTCTTTATTGCTAATGATAAGGGCTACTTGAGAGAAAACGGAGACAAGGATTCAGACACTCATTCATTTTCAATGAGCAGTTTTTGAATGTTGTGCCTTTTGTTATTGATCAGAAAGTAATCAGACTTGCACACTACTACTGATCTTCTCCTGATGATTGACTTGCATATTAAACAGAATCTGCTGGGATGTATAATGTTGTCTTCTAATAGCAGTTTTGTGAACAGTCTGTTCGAAAGCAGTTATTCAAAATGTGATATTGTGAAAGGACATCAGTTTGAATTAGTGTTGCATTGATAATAAAATTGTGGTTGATACCATGAAGTTGATAATTAGTTTTATGTTATAGGCAACAAAATTCTATACTAGTTGTCTGAATAAATAAAAAATAAAACACTAAAAACCTAATGATTAATCGTTTTGTGTTGGGATTGTGTTTGGTAGTAATTTATTTCCTCTCCCACAGAATGTTTATGTAAACATAAACCGCATCATGTCGGTGGGGAACCGTCTGCTGGAGGCGGGCCACTATGCGTCCCAGCAGATCAAACAGATCTCAGGTCAGCTGGAGCAGGAGTGGAAAGCCTTTGCTGCTGCGCTGGACGAGAGGAGCGCCCTGCTGGAGATGTCTGCTACTTTCCACCAGAAATGCGACCAGGTTAGAGCAAACACTTTCAATATCTTCTCATATTCTCAGATCAGTGTATGTGTGACTGATTTTTCCTAATTACTTCTGGAGCGAGAGAAAAGAGGAATGGATTTCACATGGTTGGTGAGTGATTATCAGACTTTGGCTTCGATTAATTTAGAATACCAAATAAAGCATCAGCAAGAAATTCAAAGACAAGATAAATTCAGGAAAGCAAATACAAGATCTGTCTTAAGACGTAGTGAACTGCCTTCTAAGTTCGTGAAACCTCATAAGTGGAAACTCGTAAGGCTTTACATAGATGACAGCATCACATGCAAACTTACATAGCACTCTGCACAGCATGTGCAATTGATTTAAATGGAGTTTGACGGTAGCATGTTGCTAAGCTAACAGCACAATACTCTAAGCATAAAATACATAGAATACATAAATATTGAGTGAAACAATTATAGTGAGCATATAATATAATGAGAGGCTGGTTTTAATAATTAAGCCTTTTATTTGGAATGTCAATATTCACTTGTCTGTGCTGAAAGTGAAATAACATGATATTTGAGAGACTGCAGTAGAGAGGACAGGTGAAGCTTTCTTTCCCTGATAAAATATTCCTCTCACACATGCAGTGTTTTCATTGAGATGTTATATCAACAACAATCTCTCTTCCAGAGATTTCTATTCCTTTAAGCCTCACCACAACTGCCAATCACAAGGCAGTCTGGTTTTGGCTGTCCTCATGCATGAGATTCTGTTTGAGTTGAGGAACCAGACGCTCAACCCGTTCTGCTCTTCATCTGTGAGGAAGAGTGAGATGAGATGAAAGACAATTTGATTTGAATTGACATTCAGAGTGCGGCATATGAAGCACGTCTCTCACCATGTCCTGCTTTTGCTCTTATTAGTTTGAACTCATTCCATTTCTTTTGATGTCAGAGCTCTATATGGACATAATATACTGGAATATACAATCAAATATGCACATGTTGTACACCATTGTGATGAGAGTTATGAGATGTTCAATTTAGAACTTGCCTTTATTTTAACATGAATTTTTAAAGTACATTCTGTTTTAAGGTCTTGGAATGAATTTTAATGAAGATTTGGGGGAAAATCTTGTTCTGAGGAGAAAATGATGTCAAGAAATCACTTTGTATGTCGAAGTACACTTTAGATGGAAAAAAACAAGCTGTTCAGATCTTCCTCAGAGCTAGTGTTGAACGGTCACATAGCAAAGCTTTGAAAATTAAGTTGGATTGGGTATTTTTGCAAGTGGATGCTTGATTGTGGGTTTAGATGCTCTCATTGGTCTGTACAGAGCTGCTCCAGTCAGGTTCAAATGAAATAAAATTTAACTTTTTATTTATTATTTTACCTTATTTTATATTGTATGTGTGAATTGACAACTGCGACTTCTACTTTCATCCCTCCGCAGTGTTATATTCTGCTAATAGAATGAATATATTCTGCACTAAATAGAATTACATCAAATAAATGCCTTATTTACAATAGAATAATATGAGCAGTTTTAGTCTTCTTGGCACTTACAGATCCAGTCCATTACCTTGTGGTTGTTCATTACTGTTTCTGAAGTGTACATTACTGTACATTGCAGCTTTTATTATAAGGGGTTGAAGAGATTATATTATTGTTATTCTGTTGTAAATGTATGTGTATCTGTGTCTTTCTACAGTATATGAGTAATGTGGACTCATGGTGTAAAGCATGTGGGGAGGTGGATCTGCCCTCTGAGCTACAGGACCTGGAGGACGCCATCCACCATCACCAAGGCCTGTATGAGCAAATCACCGCTGCCTACTCTGAGGTACTGAGACATACGTCTCGAAATCACTAAATTGCCAGTCTTGAAAAAAACGTTTAAGGGAACTGATCGCAAAGTAAATGGCACTAGCACATTTTAGCAATTACAGGCACATCTAAAGTGGCAATTTTAGGTTATTATAAAATATAGTGCTATTAAGAGTTGCTATGCATATAACAGGACATCTTCATTTAGTCGAATAGGCTTGTACAATTGTTTTCTCATCGTCCCGCTCGTTTCCAGGTGAGCCAAGACGGAAAAGTCTTATTGGACAAACTTCAGCGCCCCTTGACCCCTGGCAGCGCTGATTCGCTGACGGCTTCTGCCAATTACTCCAAGGCGGTGCACCATGTTTTGGACATTATCCATGAGGTTCTGCATCACCAGAGGCAGCTGGAGAACATCTGGCAGCACCGTAAGGTCCGGCTGCACCAACGTCTGCAGCTGTGTGTATTCCAACAAGACGTTCAGCAGGTAAAATGTACACACATTCACCTGAAAATACCCCACTAGATCCACGTGCGTGCAGGTGTGGTAGTGAGAACTGTACGTGGCATTTCATAACACCCTTGGGGGACAATTTAAAAAGCATCAAGATGATACAATGGAAGGAAATGATATGAGAGGGTACTACAAAAGAAAGGAAGTAGATTCTGCATGAATAGCTGAAAAGACACCACAGGCAACTGAGCCGTGTTACCAAAGTAACTGTCTCTAACATAAAATTTCAGTAGTTAATATCAGTGAGATTTCCTGATTTTTGATACTAATTTTCATACATAAAACTATTTTTGTCAAACTATTTTCATTATAATTTTGGTAATACTTACAAAGTAATTGTGTTACTTTATATTAAAATAAATGAATAATAATGGCATGTATCTTTCAAGTTTTAAAAAAAATTAATAAAGATTTCCCATGTAATTATTCAATACATTTTAATAATAATTCAAATCTCATAATAAAAATAAATTCATTTTTGAAAAATAAATAAATAAATAAATAAAAATAAAATAATTTTTAAGTTATGTAAAAAAATACACTAAAATATCAATAACTAAAAAAAGATAACAAAAAGAAGACTAGTATAGTTGTTTCAATTGACTTGGTACTGAAGTACCAGTACTTTTTATATCCCTCAGTGTACTGCAGTGTGCAGACATAATAATTCAAATCTCATAATAAAAATAAATTCATTTTTGAAAAAAAAATAAAAAAATTAAAAAAAATAAAATAATTTTTAAGTTATGTAAAAAAATACACTAAAATATCAATAACTAAAAAAAGATAACAAAAGGAAGACTAGTATAGTTGTTTCAATTGACTTGGTACTGAAGTACCAGTACTTTTTATATCCCTCAGTGTACTGCAGTGTGCAGACTTTTTTTCTTTTTTGAGATTTTCAAATTCATAGTTCTAGGCAGGCTTTAGTTCAGCATGTAATTACTGTTACCACTGCCTTTAATACAGGAGAGAAAACACCACCGCAACATCTTGGCTTAAGTTCTCTGGGATTATAATTGTTTACACACAAACAGAAATAGTCATGAATAATTTAAAGTAAAGGATAAGCCGGTGCCATAGCATTATACTAGGAATCTCTCTCTATTGTACATTGTGTTCAGAGGTTTAGGGCCAGTTTATTGGTGCAGAGATTGTGGTTTTCTGCAGCGAGCTATTCGACCAAGAGAATGCAGAACGGCTAATTCTGTGGCTGAGGGAAAGTGTTGCCATGGAAACCACTATTCGGGTGCTGGGGATGTGAAGAGAGGCAGAGAAGGGAGAGCTAGACTGTGAACGACACCTTTATGCATAATTTTTTCTGTCTTGGACCCTGCAGTATCACCTGTCATGGTACCTTGATTTGACTCCCATTACCGTAAAATCTATCTAACAGGACACATTCTCACCTAGAGAAGGACCGGAAAGCTCTGCTGCGGTTTCACAAATTAATACAAATGTTTTCCCTTGTGTGCATTGTGTGTGTGAGTAGGTTCTTGACTGGATTGAGAACCACGGTGAGGCGTTTCTCAGCAAACACACAGGAGTGGGGAAATCTCTGCATCGCGCTCGAGCCCTGCAGAAACGTCATGAAGACTTTGAGGAAGTTGCTCAGGTTCACCACTCTAAAATCTCCCCTTCCCTTCAGGTTTTATTTGAGCAGGCTTCTCTGTATTCTTCCATGCATAAATTAAGTCTAAAGCACAACTGATAAAGAATCACTAAACGTAAAATAACACACAAGGTTTTGCCCAACTACCCATTTTTAACAGTGCTGGGTAGATTAAAGTAAACTGTAGTATGACTGAAGTCATTGATTACAAATTGAAAATGAAAATTGTAGTTAGTGGTGTAATCTATTACATTACACATGTAATGTAACACATTCTGACTACTTTTTGATGACTCTTCTATTACTTTTTCAAAATGTGTTAATCACAGTTTTGAATAGGAACATTTTGTTGATTATAAAAATACAAGAAAGAAAGAAAATATATTCTATCCTTTATTATCAACAAGGTCGAGTGCATTAAATGTCAAGGGTTCCCAAACTGGGGGTTGTGAAGGAACAGCAGGGGTTTCTCGTGAGTTGTTGAAATTTAATTAAATTAAATCATAAAAATTTAGCTCAAAGAAAAAAGAAATAGTTTTAATATTTAAAAAAAATTTGAACACTAAAAGTAGAAATATTTTGTTTGTGTACCTGCATGTTGATGTGACCATTAACCGACATCAGAAAACTTCAATAACATAAATTATTGAAATATTAAATTAAAATCAAAAGCTACTTGACTTCATCATAAAAAAAAATATATTTAATTTATTTATTCCTTCTCTTTCTAGCTTGTACTTATTTGAACAATGTCTAAGAACTTGGTATTACAACCACTTCTTGTGTCTGTTTGCCTCTTTAAGAAGAATCGCTTTATGTATCCCCCAATTGTAAGTCGCTTTGGATAAAAGCGTCTGCTAAATGACTAAATGTAAATGTAAATGTAAAATCTCAGGTGTACTTCAAGTAAATATGTAGGTCAAAATAATGTATGAATAATTTGTTATCATGTAATACATAAAAAGTAATTGTAACCTTACTGTAAGCATGTTAAAATGTAATATAATCTAATTAAAAGTACATAATTTTTGTGAATCAGTTTAAGTAATCCATATAACATGAAATTAGTATAACAGTTATATAACTGATCACTGCTAGTAGACTAGTCCACGGGCTATTTTTAACCTTATGGAAATTATTTGATTTGATTTGATGTGATTATGATTGGTCTTTATGGCAGAACGACTAGACTAGTCAACTAGTCAGTGCCTATCTTCATAGTCATAGACCATATGTGTCTCCTCTTTATCAGAATACATACACAAATGCTGATAAGCTGCTTGAAGCTGCGGAGCAGTTGGCCCAGACAGGTGAGTGTGACCCAGAGGAGATCTATCAGGCCGCCCATCAGCTGGAGGACCGGATCCAGGACTTTGTAAGGCGTGTGGAGCAGCGAAAAGTCTTGCTAGACATGTCAGTGGCTTTCCACACTCATGTTAAGGAGGTAAGAACTAGGGATGGTTGAGTAGTTTAGTCTAAATTAAAACAGTACCTTGAATATTTTTTGCAGTCCAGCAAAAAAAGGGTTGAATCAAAAGACGCAACCTCTCGGGACAGTTTCAGCATATGTTAAACTGTCAGCATGTTAAAATCCTCTCAGGAAAGTTAAATTCTTTGTCTTCAAATTCATGTCTTTAAAGCACCTCTGGAGAGCATCTGAGGCCTCAGATTGCCTGCTCTGAGCAATGTTGCCGTTTTTATACATAATGGGATGGTTTTTTGGTGACTACTGTGATTTTTGTGCCATAAAATGATTTAAATATTTAGCATGCTTATTTGTTATTTGTTGTCTTTTGTGTGCACCATAAGAATGTCAAGTGAACAATAATTGTATGATTCCAGTAGAGTCCAAAACATGTCAGACTAGTTGGTCATTCAAAGTTGTGAGAGTGTAGTTTTACACATTTGCGCAAGAACCGGATACATTAACACTCAATATCAGATCATTAGTAACTAAATTAAATACGAGATGAATGTGCAAATTGCAAAATTATCGAGCTGTAGAGAATTATCTAGAGCTTTCTGTGCAAATTATAAAGTGATTAATGCATGTGTCTGTTGTGCATAGCTGTGGACGTGGCTGGAGGAGTTGCAGAAGGAATTGTTGGACGATGTGTATGCCGAGTCGGTGGAGGCCGTTCAGGACCTGATCAAGCGTTTCGGGCAGCAGCAGCAGACCACACTGCAGTTCACTGTAAATGTCATTAAAGAGGGAGAGGATCTCATTCAACAACTCAGGTGCACAATCTTCTCATCTGTCCTTCCCTTTCATGTCTCCTCCTGCATTAAATCCTTTAAATTGCTTTCTTGTTTCGGTGTGTTTGATTCCATTGAAGTGTTGGATTAGTGTGAAAGCCATCTTTTGAAATCTTAGCACACCAAGGAGCCACCTAGGAGTTTTAAGTTTGCAGTCAGAAGCCTAGAGTGAATGACCAGGTGACAATAAAAGTCATCTTTCTGTTGCGGCATCTTCAGCAGTTCCTCACAAACAATACAACCAGTGTAGCCCCACTTAGAAACAAATAACTCTTATGAACTAGTTCATTTTAATGAATCAGTCAAAAATGCTCAGATATCAGTGCTTTAAATATTAAAGATACACATTTGGGACATATTTTTGCTGTAATAAATAATGTTACTTCAGTTAAAAAAATAAAATTACAGCATATTTCCAAAAAGTAGTTTTTTTGTATATGTTTAGGACCAGTTACTCTTTAAGTACTAAAATAATCGTTAATGGAATTGCCAAGTGGAATCAGAAATTCTATTCAGCAGTGTTTTTGTACTCGAGCAAACCATTAGTCATTCTCACTTGACCAAACCTTTGGATGGTTCAAGCACACATTTGGTCCCATCCATCCGCCTGCATCCACTTTGCATTTGGAATACTGTACTCTCTTTACATTACTGTAACTTGGTGAGTGACTGTGCAGCTGTGCTAGTGTTAACAGTCGGTCACATGTATAATCTGCATGTGGGAAGAAGAACGTGAAGGATGAGATTCAGTAAAGATAGATGCTTCAACAGAAAGTTAAGCAGGCGAAGGAGAAGGAGAGAGCACCAGAGGCTGTTTGGAGTGGAGTCTCTCAGCCCCCACAGGGCAAACTCACCGCTCCGCTTCCAGTCCCTCTCACATGTTCAGCTCTGCCACATTTCATCAGTACAACTCTGAATCCCTGACTACCAGCACTACTGCAGTGGGCTGCACAGTACTGCAAAATAACAAGATATTCAGGGCTTGAGGAATGGTTTGATGCATCCCAAATGACTTATTTTTATTACATAATAATAGTAATTTTATAATAATGGATTTAGAGTTTTGAGGAAACATTTAATATGTTTGGTGTTTGATTGACATGATCCAGAAAAGAAAAGTGTGGTTTAAACATTGGACACCAAAGAGAAAAGATATTACTAATGCTGTCAATAGATTAAAATTTTCTTTTAATAATAATTATTGCTTATATAAAGCTTAAATTAAATGTTCAATTTTATATTTCATTAATTATATCAAATCAAATTAACATTGTTTAATAAAATCTATTTTTATAGTATATATGAAATTATATGAATTACTACATTTTAGTTTAATATAATGACTGGTGAAATCGTTAAGAAATTAAATCGAATTAAGTCATATGCTGACAAATAAATTTTTTATTTTTAAATATTTATGTAATTAATTGCAATTCTTTCAATCATTATCAACATATCACTTAATTAGATTTAATTTCATTCATTGACATGCACCAGTTATTAGAATAATAATTTATAATAAAAAAAAAAAAAATATATATATATATATATATATATATATATATTAAATATAAATGTATAAAGTATAATTTATATTGTTTTATAATATATTTTTATTATAGTATTATGTAATATAATTTAGAATTGAATAGTAATAGTATAATTTATATTATATAAATTATAATTTATATTATTATAATTGTATATAGAACAGAATAAAGTAATATACAAAATATGATGTTTAACTTTTAATATAATCCTGTAAACATTGATAAGTGGCTAATTGCAATTAATTTGGTATTTGATTAATTTTATATATTATATCTGTTTTATGTTTTATATGAGAAATTATATTATAACATATTGTATATATTCAATTTGTTTTTGTATAATAACTGGTGCGGGAATTTAATTTTAATTTTTTAAAGGAAAGCAGATTGAAGACGTGGCTTAATTCTCTTCCTCCTCCGCTTGCAAATTGGTCTCTCTATGCTTGTGATTTTGAGGATGGCTATCCCTCCATGTGCATTTTCTCTCTCTCTCGCTCTATTATTCTCTCTTCTTCTAGTGTCTTACATAATCCTGCTTTCATAACCGCCCAGTTAATTATGCAGAGGTAATATTAAACCCCTAGAGCCCAGAGGTACAAACAGAAAGGTCCCAAGCTCACACCAACACACAGAATGCCCACACCACAGAGACATTACGCACTTACACAAACTCTCCACAGGAGATATCAGGATCTCAGCATCGCACTCAGTTACTCACATTACAGACGTAAGACTGCCATCATAGTATTTGAGTCTAATCTAATCTCGAGTCGAAACTCTGGTTGTGTTGAGGTTGTGAATCGGTGATGAAAGTGTTGATTATTCTGTTATTCCGTATGAAGTCCTCTCAGTCACGCAAGCCTTGCAGTATGATAAAAGCACATCACCATGGGAACAGACTATCCGCAGCAATCCAGCATTGAAGCATCAATTAAAGCAAGGGCCTTTATTACCCTGATAACTGTGATTTTACTTTATTACGCCATTTGTTTTTAATAAAGTTTAATCAGAGTTAACCCGCTTGTAACCTTTGTGATGGGATGAAAGGACTCTTCCGTCTTTCTTCTATCCCTTACAGACTAATTTGAAACTCTTACTTCCTCGTTTTCTTATCCCACCCCCCACCCTTTTGTACAATTCTTACTAAAGCGCTCCCTGATAATTAACCTTTTTAATAAAAAGAGGATAATGTTGCATATTTTACATAATATCTTTCCAATGGGCTTGTAATCCTCTCTCCCATTCGCAGATGATGCTTTTAGGACCATATCATTTCACATTTTTAATGAATTTTTAATCTCATTAGTGCTGGCTTTTTGTTTTAATACATTTAAATTTCAAGCCTGAAGTCACATACTCTTTCTGGTCATAATATTTGTCAGTTTTCATTCGTTTTAGGTTCAGTATTCTGCACAACCCTCTACATTGCGAGTAAATCACTCGCATATGCGACTAAATCTTACTCTGGGCGACTAAATAATGTCTAACATTAGCCATTGGCTAATAAATTCTTAGATTTTACACGCCAGTATGTGTGAGAGAGGCGTTCAACACAGATTTTCACTCGATAAACACGCTGACTGAGCGCTTGAGAGTTTCGCTTTCTGTCAAGCGATCTGTACTATTTGGATGCACTCAATGGATCATGTCATGTACTCAATGGATGTGCAGTATGAAGCACGCAGCGCACCTGTATTTGACGTACCGTAAAATAGTGTGAAGGCGCACGACTCGCCGTCGCTTTACTGATAGCGCTGTGTTTCTCACACATGCAAAGAGAGAGAGCGAGAGTCTTGCATACCATGCTGAATCGACGCGCTACATGTAAACCATATTCTTTGTTGTATTTTCCTGTCAAAATAACAGAGTTCATTTAGAATTATTCAGCTTTTAAGAACAAGCAGAAGATATGCCGGTTTCTCGGCAGTGGGTTGAGCTAATGCGCGAACAGCTCTCGTTGGCTGGCGCTCATCTATTACTGTCCCTGTTTTAATTTCAGCAAATCAGTTCGAGCGAACGCTGACAACGTGATTAATATTCATGAACCCAGCAGATAATAATAGTAGTAGTATCTTTTACATGACCAACAATATCTTAAACACCACCACCAGTCCTAAGTTCAGTTAAAATGACAAATATGCATTCATTCATGGTTACCAAGTTTTAGTTCTAATCACTAGTTCTATCATTAAATAGTGCTTAATTATCATAATACCATAATATAATGCTTGATTGGCTGAAGTTAAGAGTGCACATTCAGTTATTTAAGAAGCGGTTCCATTTTACAAAGATAAGCTGATAGGGTGGAATCATGTGTGTGTGTGTGTTACCTACTTGACCATATTTTGGAGACAAATTTGTACCGAAAAGTGAGCAAAACCTGACAAAATCGGCAAAAACCTCAATTTGTGGATGTCCTCATTTGTAAAACTGTTATAAAATTAAAGTAAACAACGTTGTTTTTTACTTTTGAAATTGTAAAAATGCAGAAAGTTTTCTGTGAGGGTTGGGGTTAAGGGTAGGGGTGGGTTTAGGTTAAAAAGTGTATAACTATCTGTATATAAAAACAATCGAAGTCTATGTAATGTCCCCATTTAGATAGCCAAGTAAACGTGTGTGTGTGTAAAATAGTATATCAGTCTGGCGAGTAAACAAAAAAAATGTATTGGCCAATGGCGATTATATTGCCAAGGTGTGCGTAGAGGGTTGCTGCTGATCATTTACTTCTGTCCCATGGAGGTTAGAGCTGCACAATGAAACAAAAGTTTGATTGATTGCGGATGTGACAGAAAATAAACATTTACAGTAATTTACAATCTATTTGCCATTTGAAAACTTTTTAGTGAATCAGCAAAACCGATGCATGAAACCGTATTAAACATAAGATTGAATGTTTGTAACAAAAGTTTCTATAGCAACGTTTTCTCTATTCATCTAATATGATTTTATGTACAAAAATAGTCTGAATTGGTAGCTATGAATTTTGGTTGATACTAAACCAAATGAGTTTAGATGATAAAATAGCATCTCAAATGGTAAAAATTTGCAGAAGTATTATAGAATCTAATGGATGAAAACTTTTTTTAATAAATCAGTCAAACAGATGCATTAATCAGTGTTAATGCTCATGAGGTATAACAACTGAAATCATGAGTACACTGGAGGTCATTTTTGATCCTTCCTGATTACTTGTTTTGACCCCACTCAATCTATAATAGAGATCAGAGTCGGGAAATCCAAATAAAAGCATTGTGTCTGTGTAAACAAACTACAAATATAGAAAACAACAAAAATTCCTCAAATTCCGTTAGACTTGGGCTTGAAAATTCCTAACATTCCTTAAATTATACTATTTTTATTACAGCTTTGACTTTCCCAAAGGACATTATTGTAAGAAGTAAACATGTTTCTTCCTGTAGCTCTTGCAGACACCAGAACAAATTAACCTTTGCTGTGACAGCTCTTGCACTGTCTTCCTGCAGAGACTCGGCCATCTCCAGCAATAAGACCCCTCACAACAGCTCAATCAACCACATCGAGAGCGTCCTGCAGCAGCTGGATGAGGCTCAGGCTCAGATGGAGGAGCTCTTCCAGGAGAGGAAGATCAAACTGGAGCTTTTCCTTCAGCTCAGGATCTTTGAGAGGGATGCCATTGATGTGAGTTCACTGTATACTTGATCAAGTGTCTGTGGGGGACAGTGTGTGTTTTTCATGGAAATAATTCAATGGAAATGTCAATTCTGTCAACTTACTCACCCCCATGTCATTCCATATGACTTTCTTTCGTGGATACTTAAATCCCTATTCATTTTCATTGTAGTACTTTTCTGTTCCACAGAAGAAAAAGTCTTGCGGGTTTGGAAATAATGAGAGTAAATAATGACAGAATCCTCATTTTGAGTGAACTATTCCTTAAACTAGGGCAATATTCCCATCAGCACACAGTTTGCGACTCACTGATGTTTAATATGATTTACTAGCAATTAATAAGCATAATGATGATCTGCACCCAAATGTGATTACTCCCTCTTTCCTGTTTGCACGCTTACAGAAGCACACACTCAGAGAGTTTATAAAGCGATGGAGGAAGTTACACACACATTGCCCTCAACATATAAGAGCAAGTCAGGACAGGTCTTTTTGTTTATTGTCCTGGGTGATCTTGCTGTGTCTGCATTAGTAATAATGACTCTCAGACTGCGCTCATATGTTGTATCTTATATTCCAGATTATCTCAGATCTCGACTCATGGAACGAGGAGCTGTCACAGCAGATGAATGACTTTGACACAGAAGACCTGACGCTGGCCGAACAGAGACTGCAGCACCACGCTGATAAAGCCCTGACCATGAACAACCTCGCCTTCCATGTCATCCACCAGGGCCAGGAACTGCTGCAGTACGTCAACGAGGTGCAGGCGTCTGGTGAGTCAAACATGCCACTATGGGCTTTTCAGTATATGTACATAATAGCTATTTGCACTTCAGGTGCAAATTTGGGGTTGCTACAGATTTTCTTTGGAGAGAAATTAATGCTTTTATACATAACATTTATCGAAAGTGACATTAAAGGCATTTATAATGTTACAAAACATTTTCATTTAATTTCTATTCCTTTGAACTATACATTCATTAAAGAATCCTGAGAAAAATTTTTCACATTTTCCGCAAAATATTAATCAGCACAACTTTTTACTGTTATAAAAAATAATAATACTTTGTTACAGTACTTGAGTATTTTTTGCGAGTATCTGTACTTTATTTGAGTTTTTATATTTCAGCCAACTTTTACTTTTACTCCACTACATTTCCCAATTAAAATGTATACTTTTACTCCGATACATTTCCCCGAAGCATATTCGTTACTTACTACAAAATAGTCAGAAGTCAGAAGAACACGGACTGCAGGAAAGCTGGTTTGCGATACAGCATCGTCTGCGATAATATGGTAAGTGTTGTTGTAATGATGTGCGATCTGACATTATCAAGTATATCACCGAGAGTGCACGCACATAATTTATTAGTCTATTAAAACTCAAAATTCAAGGCATTCTAAATTGTAGACGGCAAAAATGCTTCTGTATGCTTTTTTATGTTTATATAATTTAATATAGTTAACTTAATCTATATCACACAAAGACTACCGTTTTTCTGCAAATATCAGCATGAACACATTTAATAATCATTTTATACAAGTTCAATAACGCAATAAGTGACTTACATTTTAGACATAATATTGCTTGTTTTTGCTCAATTTTGCCAACGAAAATAGTTCCAAAGATCACAGCACTGTTTTGCATCTCTGAGCAGCAATGGACGATGTTTACTTATTGAATGAATCAGCTTTTTGGACAAATCGATTGATAAAAATGATTCAGTGATTCATTCATTAACACAGTCAAATGCTTTGTTCCTGAATGAATCAGTCGTTTGAATGAATCGGTTGAATCTCAATAACTCACTCATTAACAGTCACTTGCTGTCACCTACTGGTGGTTTTAATTTCACATTTCGACTGTTTTGTTCATGTTTTAAATTATTTCAAATATCAGTATTCAACGTTTTATGTTAAAAACAAAACATTATTTATCCATCTGTAACTGCAGGTTAAATGGATCCATGTCCCCTCTGAGATACATAAACCGTATAAACGCATCTAAATGCTATTTCAGATGCAGATTCCAGAAATGTTTTCTTATGTTGGAATGAAAGACACTAAGTACTGGATGAAGTGCTTCTTATTCTTACCCAAAAATTCAAAATGGAAGAAAGAGTTAAAACTGAACACAATCTTGCTACTCAAACATTTTTTATATATATTTATTTGCTTCTTTTCCATTTTGCATTTACTTGTACTTTTACTTTCAATACTTATGTTTAAAATGTTAAAAATACTTTTCGTACTTAAGTACAATAAATATCACATACTTTAAGACTTTTACTCAAGTAATATTCTAAACGGTTACTTCAACTTCTACCAAAGTAATTTTCTGGTAAGATATCTGTACTTTTACTTGAGTATGGTTTCAGGTACTTTATACACCCCTGTATACTACAGTTTGGACCAATACACGCTACCTTTAAAACATTGTCCTCATCTAATCCTCAGTCCTTTGAGCTCAGACTGGCATAAAGTGAGACACCTCACATAAATGATGCTATAGGTCATTCTCAGTGGTCAGTGGCCACAGAGCTGTGAGGCAGTATGCATATGTATTAGCTATGTACATTTTCCGATTGCAGGTATACATGTTGGATTGTAATGTTGCTCTCACCGTCATGGGAAATGACAGTTACGAGTCGGCATCTTCTACAGCACTTCTGTGCTCATTTAACTTCAACTGTCCTAAAACAAGAGTTTTCATTACAGCAGTTTCATGATTGTTATGGAATAACATGAGAGCTGAAAATGTGGTCGTTTCTTCATGGTTTCCAGGTGTCGAGTTGCTGTGTGACCGTGATGTGGACATGGCCACCCGTGTACATGATCTGCTGGAGTTTCTACATGAGAAGCAACAAGAGCTGGACGTGGCCGCAGAGCAGCACCGCAGACACCTGGAGCAGTGTGTGCAACTGCGCCACCTACAGGCAGAAGTCAAACAGGTAATGCACAGGCTGGTTCAGAAAGGAATACTAGCTTACTGCATACTGCTGAGCATATATTTTATACTGCCAACTGTTTTTGAATATGGTATATTACACTGCGCTGATTTGTGTTTGCTAATCTCTTCACTTGTTGCAGGTTCTGGGTTGGATCCGTAATGGCGAGTCAATGCTGAATGCAGGTCTGATTACGGCCAGTTCACTTCAAGAAGCTGAGCAGTTGCAGAGAGAGCACGAGCAGTTCCAGCATGCTATCGAGGTTAGTTCTCATATTTAGGTTCAAACCTTTTCATTCTTAATCTTCTTTCACCTCCCATTTTCCTCTTTTTCACTATTTCCTTGCCTGTTTCTTACAATGGACTCATTACTGTAATTGTAATAGCTCAAACCATGATTTTGTCAACATGTATTAGCGTTTACATGCCCATACATATGCATACAAATGTTTCTTCAACTAAGGGCACTTTTTGACCTGTGGGCTGCAAACATAAACTGTTTTCACTCTAATTACTTTAGAATTTGTCCACTAATAATGACCAACAATTTCTTTTTTCCTACACAAACAAATGTCATTACCACCACGTGTCAATATATGTATTATTTACCAGCATTCTTTGGTGTAAATATTTTAAACATTTCTGAAATAAAAGGGCTGGCTCCTTTGTATTGCTAAGGCTAATTTAATACCTAGTATTTATACAATTAAATTATATATTTTTAAATAATTTGACAGAATTGTGGCTTGATTGGAAGTGACACGTGATAAAGAGATTCTGTGATATTTTAAGTGTAACTTAACTTTTTTCTTTCTTTTTCTTTTTCTTTTCTTTTTTTATCCCCATATCTCATATTTCTCAAGCTTTCACTCACACTGTTGTCTCTTCATAAGTCCACAAACCTTTTTTCTTAGTTATACTATATGTGACTGTACACCACAAATGAGGGACAGATGTAATTTATGTCAAATAAATAAATGGTTTATGTCACACTTTGTTTGGATTGTCATGTTTTTAAACATTTTTAAAAAACTTTTTTTGTACTACTTTTTATAATTTCCATAGTTTAAACATTTTAATTTGGGTCTGGAACAATAGTAAAACAAAATCTATACACTATCCTTCAAAAGTTTGGCATCAGTATATGAATATGTTTATGCAACGGACACATTAAAGTCAATAAAGACTTTTATAATATCACAGAAAATTTATATTTCAAATAAATGCTTTTGAACTTTGTATTCATCAGAGAATCCTGAAAAAAATATGTATCATGGTTTCCATAAAAATATCAAGCAGCTGTTTTCATCATGTGACACTGAAGACTGGAGTGATGGCTGCTGAAAATCCAGTTTTGCCATCACAGGAATACATTACATTTTAACATACATATATATATATATACATATACATATATATATATATATATATATATATATATATATATATATATATATATATATAT